TTACTGGGTTTGTCATGAATACAAATTGAATCTATACGTAATGTACTCACCCTTCATTAGAATCAAATACAACCATGAGAGGAGGGCATTCCCCCTCTATTCATCATTCTCTTGCATAAATTCAAGGCGTCAGCGTCTTCTTTTGACAAAACCTGGCACATAATGTAAATCAGCTTCACTAAAATCTCTAATGATAAGTTACTTAAAAGTATATCCAAAAGAGAAAAGAATAACAAGGGACAAAAGCAGTCGACAGACGATGTGTTCAAAATTCACAGAGAAGTCAGCGAACAAAATACTCGAAATTAACATAGTTTAGTGCGTGATCAACTGAAATATTACTATATTCTAGTAATAAAGATGTTGAACTTGGTTCCATTCTCATTTGATTTCTAGTTCTAATTATCACACTAAGTTGACTTTAAGTCAAATTTCAATTTATATCCGTGTAAAAGTAGCATTCTAATTCTAACATAATCTAATAATTCAATCCAAATTAATTGCTTTTGTAATTAATCTCTTGATAATAAAATTGCAAAGTAAAATTAAAATAAAAGTAAAATCAGTTTAATCATGCATAAAAAAATGAACACTACATTAAATATTGCTTATCAAATAATTAAAAGTTAACTACCTGCATTCCTCCTATCTCAAGGGCAGCACAATTTGCTGACCTCGGTGCCATGCCAGGCCTGTAGGTGAGCTCATCACTGAACTCTGTGCAGGAGGCTAATAATGCTGTTGCCAGTGATGCCATTTGCTCCAACCTTCTTTCAGGATCCTCTGTAGGATTGAAAGGCAGAAGTTTCCTTTTCTTTTTTGACAAAACCAAACTATTACCTCTTCTTCGTTTTCTTGGATTATCTGAAAGAGAATCAGAAAGGAAATAGGAATACAAATTGATTTCAACCAATCAATGGCGTAGAGAAATGGAGTGCTAAGAGAAGCAAACACTTAGAAAACTGAAAACCAATTACCTTGACTCAGCTTTTGAGTTATTTCTATGGGCCTTTGGATGCAAAAGAAATCAATAATTTTAGTTTGGACAAGAGGGAAAGCTGCAAATCAATCAAGGAAAATTGGGTCAAGCAAAGTAGCAAGTTAGGAGATTTGGGTGATACAAACAAAACAAAAGCACCAAATCTAATTCAACAATCCTAGCATTGACTTTCCCAGTAGAAAACATATTCGTATACAAATCAATCAAGGAAAATTGGGTCAACCAAAGCAGCAAGTTAGGAAATTTGGGTGATAAAAACTAAACAAGAACATTCAAATATAATTCGACAGCCTTAACATTGAGTTTCCTAGTGGAAATCATATCTATATACAAATCAATCAAGGAAAATTGGGTCAACCAAAGTAGCAAGTGGGAAATTTGGGTGATCCAAAGAAAACAAGAACATCGAAATCTAATTCAAAAATCCTAACAGTGAGTTTCCCGGGCAGAAATCATATTCATATCACATAGACATATACATATATATATATATATATGTGTGTGTGTGTGTGTGTGTATGAATGTATAAGTTAAGATAATTGATACAATCAAAATACCACCAAACAGATACCTAATAAATCCCCCGAAAACCTAATGATACAATTGAAAAACAGATTCGGAGATTATGGTTATCCCAGTGCATCATACCCATAAATTGATAGCTATAAGTAAACCAAATATTCACTCCAAGCGTTTTAAACAAGACAAATCCCATGTTGAGAAAACCTATATAACAAAGAAATGAGACAGAAGCATACACAGATATGCATCCAATTGATCATTACAACAATTACCGTAATCCAGAGAGAGAAAAAACTACCACAGAAAACATTTGTAATAGAAAGCAGAAAAGGAAAGAAGAATCCATGAACATTACATATAGGCTTCTTGTGCCTGGAGCATGAAGGACAGAACCAAGAGCCTTTGGGAACAGAAACGAGAATAGGTCTGAGGCAAAATAGATGATACCCTCTATCACATTTATCACAGAGAAGAAGCTCCGAGGGATTATCTCCAGACCCGCATTTCTCGCAGAAGGTATCATCGTCGTCTCCCGACGAATAATCCGGATTCGCAAATAGAGGACTGGAAGGAGGGCTTGGAGCTCTCGTTCTGCGCCTTAGCACCATCGTTGTCCTTGAAGAAGCCATGTATAATGGGCTCCAGAGAGAGATGGAGAAAAAGAGAGAGAGTTGCGAGAATTGGGTGATGCGCACTGTTGTCTCCGGATCCAATGTATTCAACTGGAAAAATTGGCGCGCTGTTTTTGTTTCGCGCGAATGGATTTTGGCGCCACTGGTTTTAGCTTGGGGAAGAAGGAAGTCACGTGCGTTTCCCGTGCCTCTGTTTATATAACCCACTAGGCCAAATTGGGCCGGACTTTACAGGCCCAAAGTTAAAAGCTCAAGCCCAAGCCCATCAAAGTCGTCTCTTAAAGGGTAGTTAAGGAACATTACAGACAGCTTCTTCTATGGATTATCCAAGCTTAAAGCCCTTGAAAATCTACCTGGTGACGGCCGCCGACTCACCCGAGTTCACTCACCTGACTCGGTCGTTGATCCGTTCATCACTCATCGGTCTCGATGCCGAGTGGAAACCAATTCGCAGCCACCAGTCCGCTTTTCCCACGGTTACTCTCCTACAGCTTGCCTGCCAACTCGGTCCGGGAGTGAGTGGTGACACGGCCGAGTCAGGCGAGCAGG